AAAAAAAAGTCTGGTGTTTGCACGCCATTAGCATTTTTTTCCATTGCCATTTACAGTCTCTTATTGTGTTATTGAAATCATATTTTTCCACTGTCATTCATGCCATAAGCAATTACAGTTTGTTATTTCTTTATCTCTAGTTTTATGATTTCTTATGATTACTGCACTTCTTATTGTGTTTTTCCAAATGTGTAACTTTTTTTTTTTGGTGTTATTTATCCTTTAACAGAAGATAATTAATGAGAAACTGTTGATATTGAAGGAAAACACAGTTTATCTATACATTGAAGGAAATATGGGTATGAATGAATTTTATTTTCTTGTTTTAAATTACAGTTTAGCTATTCATATATATGGTTCTAAATTATGTTCATGTTGTTTCATTATTATAAAATATAATCTACTTGTACTCTTGAAATCTACTATTAACATTATGTATAAACGCATTTTAAGTAAGATATAATTTATACCCACGTAAGTAAATGTACTTTTATAAATTTCATGTAGGTAGTACTTCTATTACCGTGCACATGTTTCATAGTGGGTTTTGGAAAGACAGAGATAATTACGTGGAATACAAAGTGTCAGAACTAATTATATATCAAGAAATGTCATATGTCAATTTGATGAAAAAGATAATGGAACAATTGGGATTGGTAGGTAAATCAGTAATAGTATATATCCACCAGATTCTTAATTTTAAATCACCATCAGTATATATCGAGATACATAAAACTTGAGATATAATATATATCCTACTTTAAGCACTATATATCCCTACATAAACATTATTCAGAACAAACGAAATCAGAAAAATGTACTTGTATAAACTCTAGCTAAAATTCTTCCAGTTAGCAAGAACAATGTAATACCGAAAGTGCTCTGTGATTACTAGAAAACCAAATACTTTTTCCATGGAAAGTGGTCCTTATGCTCGGGTTCTAATTCTTTAAAATTTGGTTACAATAAATGATAGATTCACTGGTATATATCGAGATACTTAAAACTAGAGATATATTATATATCCTACTCTAAGCACTATACTATATATACTCAAATATACACTATTTTAAACAATAGAACTCAGAGCTATATACTCGTATATGCAAACTATTTTAAACACTAGAATCAGAGAGCAAGAGATTCTGTCCAAAATTGAAACCTAAATATAGCATAAACTACGGTATGATGGGAACCGACGAATTGAAATGCTCATGCGATAGATGCCGGAGATAAAATTAGATGTTACCGTATAATGGAGCCGACGGTGCCACTGGAGACGAAGGAACAACGACGATGTTACCGTATAATGGTAACCAACGGAATGAGATGCGACGGAGGGCGGCAGTGAAATGTTCTGCAAACAAAGGAGAAGAAGCTGCCGGAGACAGCGATGTTGTCGGAGAAACGATCAGATGCTTAAGAGGAGAAGAAGCTCGACAGTCGGAGCGGTGAAAGAAAATCAAGGAAGAAGAAGGACGTTACGGAATTTTAGGGGTTTTAGGATTTTCAGTTTTGGAAAGTTGAACTAACACAATTTTAGGGATTTAATATGTTTTAATAATTTACCATTTTCATATTTTATTAATGATTTAATATTGAGATGGATATATTAGTAATTTTTATTATGGGTACTATGATTATTTTAGACAAGAGTATAAATTCTATACTTTCCTATCATTTTAAGTAATTATGACTTCTAAACGGATATACTAATCCCTTATTTCTTCGACACCCAAGCCCACATAAGTACTAATAAATGACATTTGTCCTTTCTTTTGTTTTCAAATGGTGCACACTCATGAATCATGTTTTGGTCCTTAGTATTGTCTTTTTCACCTAACTTTCATTTATTCAATACTCAACATCAACTAATTTGTGAAACACCAATACCTATTTGCATTAGTATGTCAGTACACACTCGAAATTCATGCTATACATTGTTCCAAAATTACATAACTACTAAAGGTTAGCAATTAAATTAGATATTTTAAAAATTTAGAAACCAAAATTTTTTTGAAACTAGAAACCAAAATCTAATATATATATATATATAAATATATATTTAAAAGTCTAAAGTTGAAGGAGGGGTCGTCTCTCGTGAATATAAACATATGACTAAATTCTATATATATATCTTTAAATTTTCTCATCTGTTTAAAAAATATCTTTATCCTTTCAAAAGTTTTAACACTACCTTCATCTTTCATAAACGTTTTAAAAACACTGTTTGAACAAACATCTTTTGATATTTTCAATGAAAAGTTGACGTGGCATAATATGGAACCACATCTCAATTAACATCCCAATTTTTGTCCTAAAAGTATTCTTTATCCATTGTCGAGAGAGTTTGTGTTTGATCATAAAACCAACCGAACTCGGATATGCGAAGCTCAAATGAAGTGCACTAAGCTCGAAGTACCTGCAAAACAAAATTAGAACTCCGATGCTTTTGTCGGTATACAATTCGATCTATTGCTCTAGAGAGAAATAGTTTCGTGTAACTTGCGTGAGAGACAAGTATCTCTATTTATAGAGATAAACTTTTGAGAGCTCTCCAACAGCTCTCCGACTGTCTTGGAAAAGCGGGATGTTCTCAGGGAACATCCTTGTTCCCTTCGCGCTTGCAGGTGCTCTTCAAAATCACTCGTACCCAACGAAGTTAGGCCAAAAGGTAGAATCTAACTTGACTCATCTTTCACTTGTCGAGCTATCAATACTTGAATCAATCCAAAAGGTGCAATTGATTATTCTTGTTGTCTTGATTAAATGAGCATTCGATATTGACACATGAGAGACGATAATGCGCCTCCAATAATTTGCTTGTCCATTGTGGGCTCAATTTCGCCCTAATATTTCCTTAAAAAACAAGTTTCTCCACATTTCACCTCTTTTAAACTTCGATGTTAATTGTGAGCCGTTTAAAATATTAACAAATTTTTATTCAAATAGTATTTGAGAAAATAATTAAAATGACGGTTTCCTAATTTTGTGGAGTGCGGTGTGAAGTTCTGAGACGTGCGGGGCGATGAAGCGGAAGAAATGGTCGGAGCAGGAAGAAGAAACCCTTCTCTCCAAATACTCAGAGCTTCTCAACTGTGGAACCCTAGCCAAGCTCAAGACTCGCGAGAAGAAGTTCAAGCCCATCGCCGACCATGTCAATTCGGTGCATCATCTTCACGATCCCCTCGCCTTCCCCTTCCGCTGGTCCTGGCGCGACGTCTCCATCAAGGTCCAGAACATGCGCCACCAGTACCTCGGCGTCAAGCAGAAGATTAGGCTTTCCGATCATCACTTCAATTGGAAGGACGCCGAGAATCACTGGCAGAATTTCATCAAGTATAAAGAGGTTTTCGGAGATCTGCCTC